ATGTGACATCCCATTATGGCAGGCATTGTCACCTATTGCACTCCGCTTGGTTCCGCCTGCAGCTCTTGGTGCCCCGCATTATTTTGGGTTTGCTGACATTCTGTTTACCATTAAGGCGATGACGTCACCGTGCAGGGTCACAGGGCAGAGTTCGCACCTCGTGGGTTGAGCCATGCGCGGTGAGATCCTGCCCTTGGTGAAGAAGCGCTGCGCACGTTGCGGCCTGTGGCAGACTTCGTGTGTCGGGGATCGCGATGGACGACAATAACAGCTATCAGTCTGATAAGTCCCCCAGTGATCAGCCCCCCCCCATCGATCAGACCCCAGTGATCAGCCCCATCGATCAGCCCAGTGATCCAGCCCCCATCGATCAGCCCCCAGCGATCAGCCCCCATCGATCAGCCCCCAGTAATCAGCCCCCCAGCAATCAGCCCCCCAGTAATCAGCCCCCCAGCAATCAGCCCCCCAGCGATGCCAGGGGGGGGCGGAAGAAAGCTGCCAGGCCGCGCCAGTGCCGGCGGTGCTGGGCCCATGGCTATGACTCGCCCTTCAAAGACCACAAGAACTTCTGTGCCTGGAGGTGGTGTGTCTGCATGCGGTGCCGGAAGGTGGTCAGGAGGCAGAAGGACATCGCTGCCAGGATGGCATGGTGCAGACAGAAGGCCCTGGAAGTGAGGGTGGGGATCCGCTCCCCCATTGGGTCCCTACCCAGTGACTCAGGGAGAAGGGTGACGGCTGGGGATCGGCCTGTCCCCATCAGAGGACACATGGAAAGCGCCCCTGAGATGGCTGGAAGTACATCATTTCTTTATAACAGTTTCTACCACCCAGCACACTTCCCATACTACAACTCATACAATTATTCTCCCTACCAAATGGCTCTGAATGCTGGACCAAGTGGCAGTAACCGAGGTGGAGTAAATGGGCCACCAATGTCATATGCACCAATGGAAAACCCAGCAATGTCAAGCACCCCAATGACTAACCCAGCAATGCCAAGCGCACCAATGGCTAACCCAGCAATGCCACGTGCACCAATGGCAAACGCAATTATGTCAAGCGCACCAATGACTAACCCAGCAATGCCAAGCGCACCAATGACTAACCCAGCAATGCCACGTGCACCAATGGCTAACCCAGCAATGCCACGTGCACCAATGGCTAACCCAGCAATGCCACGTGCACCAATGACTAACCCAGCAATGTCAAGCGCACCAATGGCTAACCCAACAATGCCAAGCGCACCAATGGCTAACCCAGCAATGCCAAGCGCACCAATGGCTAACCCAGCAATGCCAAGCGCACCAATGGCTAACCCAGCAATGCCACGCGCACCAATGACTAACCCAGCAATGCCACACGCACCAATAGCTAAGCCAGCAATATCAAGCGCACCGATGTCAAACCGAGCAATATTTAGCACACCAATGTCAAACCCAGCAATGTCAAGCGCACCGATGTCAAACCGAGCAATGTCAAGCGCACCGATGTCAAGCCCAGCCACGCCAACCGCATCCATGTCAAACCCACCAGTGGCAAGCGCATTTAGAAGTATTCCAAGAACCCACATCCCAAGTCAGCCAGAAAACCAGTGGCAGGATGCTTGTCCAAACATAAGTATGACATCTTCAAGACCACAACTGCAACCTGTATCATTTGCCCCTTACATATCAGCTATGAATGTAGGTGAAAATAGTTTGCCAGGACACAGTGTAAGCTCACCGTATAGCATGCACTCGTATTATCCCTCGTACCCTAGACAAAGTGTTGCCACTCCTGCTTGTGTCCCACCTCTCTTCACTTATAAAGCAATGCCATCATATTATGAGGCCGTGGCAAGCGTGTTTCCTCCTCCCAGCTGCAAAGATTGCGGCTTCGTTTCTCTGAATTTCCCCACTAACAATAAGAGCACCAGAGGTGAAGCAGAATGTGAGGCGAACATAGAGGCAAGCCAGTTCACCACCAGAGTTATCGAGGATGACAAGTGATACCACCGCTGTGAGCAGTTAGGTTCATGCATGTCTATCATCAACACCACTACTACCACAATCCTGCTAAGGAGTAAACAGACATGGCACCACTGCACTCACAACTACTTTAATAAACTATGTTTAAATCTCCTTGTGGATTTATGTTGGTTTTAGTTGCTAATCATTCAAATGATTTCAGGTTAAATAGTTCAGTAATTCAGAACTTTCGAATAGTTCCATCTTCAGTTGTCTTGACTACATTGCTCTGGATCATGGCAGAGGATTGTGAGATATATTTGGGATCCACCTCTTGGCCACTGCCAGGTCAAATGCGGGTGCGTCACTAAGCAGTTGTGGTTGAAGCGACAACCAGCTCACAAAATGTGTGCCAAAAGAGAATGTTGGAGTTCTTCCCAACGTGTGTATTATGCCCTAAATGTATGTTGGTTGTCCGTTTGCCACGGCTTGCGGTTTGGTAAGCTAAATTGTGTTAATTTCATGAAACATATTGGGTTGTCCCCCAGGGTGAGAGTTCATGGTGATTTCAGGTTCGAGCCAGAAGTAGCCGAACTGGGGGCAGATGTGGTTTGGAGAAGTTTACCAATTTGGCAATTTTTACCTTGGATTTGAAGTTTGCTTTTTATTCTCACTTTGGTGGATTCCCCTAATAGTTGAGGTTTGGAATGCCTACCATTGCAATAATGTTCGAGAAGGTTCTAGTTGCACCGTTAGTGTCATAACATGGTTCTACCAATTTTAACAAATAATGGTTTGTAGTTTATGTGTATATTATACATCTAACAGGATTTTGTTTTCTTGGGTAAAACATATAGTAATAAGTAGTCATGGGTTTGTAATCAAAGTTATTGCTGACCTGGATGCAAAATAAGTCAAATTTAAATACACTGATTTAAGATTAACTGTTACATGTAAGTCACCAAGTTCAGTAAAGTTGGATTTCTTCCCAACTCTTGATATTTTGTCCTAAATGTGTATGTTGGTGGATTCTCCTGATAGTTGAGGTGTCGAATGCTCATCGCAATAATGTTCTTGATCAAGTTAAAGGAACACTATAGTGTCATGAATACAAATGTGTATTACTGACACTATAGTGTTAATAATAAATTTTAGGTGGCCGGCCCCCCCTTGCCACATTATAGGTATAAAATGTACCATGTGCGTGTCTCGCAGCGGATGGCTCCGTCAACTTGGCTGAGATCATCAAAGCTGTTGATCTTGGCCAATCCAGGCTATTGCACATGCGTGGCAAAACCCTGCACTGCACCAGTAAGCATCTCCTCATAGATATGCATTGACTCAATGCATCTCTGTGAGGAACCTTCAGCACCAGTGCTGCTGACCTAGGGAGCACCTCTAGTAGCTGTCTGAGTGACAGTCACTGGAGGTGTTCCTAGGCAGTAATGTAAACACTGTCTTTTTACTGAAAGGCAGTGTTTACAATAGAAAATGTACAGGGACATGCTATAGACACCAGGACAACTACATTAAGCTGTAGTTGTTCTGGTGACTATAGTGTCCCTTTAAACATTCAATTTGGTACTAGATGCACCATCATGGCTCTGACCGTTCTAACAAATAATTGGTTTGAATTAAGAGTCCAGATACAAGTACATTATACATGTAGCTGTATTTTCTTCTTGTTTTGTGTAGTTACAAGTAGTCATAGGTTCGTAATCAAAGTTTTTGCTGACTTGGATGCAAAATATCAAAAGTAATAAGTAAATACACTGATTTAAGATTAATGGTTACATGTAATAACGAAGTTTCAATGACAAGTGGGTTTTTCAAAGTTACCATATGACAGCCCAGATTATAGTTTCCATAAATCAAAGTAAAATGTTTACTATCTTACACCTTGCAATATTAGATATCTTACCTGCCCCAGCTAAATTTCAAAGATAAATGAGAGCACACTATCACCAGGTGCAAAACCCAAAGTTAGTAGATATTAGTAGAAAGTAGGTCCAGGCACTCAAGGTCTCTTCAAAAAGGAAGATTTATTGAAAACTGCATGAGCAACGTTTCGGCCTACACAGAGGGCTTTGTCAACCTTGACCTCTGTGTAGGCCGAAACGTTGCTCATTCAGTTTACAATAAATTTGCCTTTTTGAAGAGACCTTGAGTGCCTGGACCTGCTTTCTATTAATATCTACTCAATTTGGGTTTTGCATCTGGTGAAAGTGCGATATTCTTTATCTTTGAAACAACACTTCCTATTGAAGTGTGTTGTAACACAGGGAACAAGTTACGGTGAGAGTTTAAGGGCTGGCCCTATGTTGCAGGTTTCATTTTTGAAGTTCGGGAAGACTGCCATTATTTACATCTGTGCGACACATAATATGTTGTCTGTTTTAATGAGCAACCTTTGTACCACCTTGACGTTGCCTTTGATTGTATTGTAATCTTACAAATGTTAACTGTGTTCTTCCTTTTATCCACATTTCTTGTTAAACAGGCCAAGAAAATAAACTAGCCAGCAGAGAAAATAACGTTTGTTGTTGTGTTGTTGTTGCAACTGCACCTTGGAAATATTATTGATGGCTATAGTTACTTGTGTGTATATTTACCTTACTGGGTGACAATAATAATTCAGTGAAGCATTCAATACGCTCATATAAGCAGTGTTAAATAAAGAAATAAAATCACTATAGTGCACGCACTGTAGTTGCTGTGCTGGACAATCTAGCAATTCTATTGGCACATTGTGTACATGAAATTATGTCCTTGTTACTTCCATGTCAATCTATATCCAGGCTGCAGAGTTCACTGGAATCATGCGTTCACAGAAGTATCTTGTTACACACATACAAAGTTTAGGCACCGTAACAACTTAAATGTAAATGAAGTTGTTATAGTGCCAAGAGGCCCCCAGGTGCACTCTTACTGTTCTGGAACTGTTTAACTCTAAAGTGATCCTCCAGCGCCGATCTCAATTTCCACCAAGGCGGCATCCAGCTTCTGAAATCTCTATTTCGGGAAGCACTGAGTGGCACTGGGAAGGGGAGGAGCTGATTTGCTGACAATGGTCTGCTGAAGCTCTCAGCCAGTGACTCCCTATTCACAAAACTGGCTTGAAAATGTAAGGTTTTTTGTGTTTTTTTCAATCTAGTTTTCACTGATTGGCTGAGAGCATCAGCTGACTGCTCTCAGCCAATCAGCGGCATCCCTGCACTATGCGCTTCCTGAAACTGAGATTTCAGAAGTCTGATGCTGCCTGGGAAAGTTGAGATCGCAGCTGGAGGCTCACTTTGGGGTTAAATTGTTAGAAAACAGTTTACCCCTTAAGGTAAGAGTGTGGCCAGGGGTCTCCTGGCACCATAACAACTTAATTTAGATAAAGTTGTTATGGTGTCTGGAGTGCCCCTTTAATCCAAATGTAGTATTGCAATAACAAGATGAGAATATCCAATTAGTAAGAAAATGGAAAACTATTCTGTATACAACACATAAAATAGATCTACATATAGTCATGTATGTAAAGTGCTACGGAATATTTTGTAAAGCGCTACAGAATCTGTTGGCGCTATATAAATGGCAATAATAATATTGCACAGTTCTAAAGCATTTGATTGACCCATGTCTGGTGCTAATGAGAAAGTTAGTGCTAGGCAACAGTGGGCTGATTGTCAGCCTCCAGGTACCATTCAGTAAATCAGCTGGTCAATCCAGTTGGAGTAACAGAAAACAAAGCATGTCATTCTAGACAGTAAATGTGCTCAGAAATCCTAAACTCTGCTTGCTTTTTTGAACGGATGCAATGTAGTGCATGAAGTAAAACTTTCTTTGCGCATATATTTTTAGTGCTGCTTTATGTCACTATAACAAGGCCAATTTTGCTCGGATTAGGTTATTTGAGACTATGCGGTCTGCATCTTTAGTAGAATCAATCAGGATAATGGTTATACACTGGGCATCTTTATATTGTGAGAACCTAGAGATCTAAGTCCGGGTTTAAAGCATCTTATGTTTTTACCTACCTTGAACACTGACTGACAGGAAGAGGAAGGTCCCCAATAATAAGATTCCAAATTGATCCTCCATTCTTCAAAAATTGAGTTTCCTCACTAGGTTTAAATGACTTGACCAGACTACAGAATAGCTGGAAAAGGAACTGCGTGGGGACGCAACAAATGCAAAGTCCTCTGTTTCTTTGGCTTTAGATCCTTGATGTCTAAAACAGAAAAAAAATAAAAACACATTCAAAATTTCACTTGTTACCAAAAAACTTTTCGCTTTAGAGCATTTTAGGAGTCTTACTTAAAATCAATATGAACGAATTACCAACAGTAATGACTAACTTTCAGCTCTCCAGCTACTGTGCAATACATTTCTCCTAATGCATCGCCATGCAACTGGTTTTGGGTCATGGTTTCTGTTTTCCACAGCAGCTTAAAAGGGACACTGTGGGCACCCAGGCCACTTCAATGAGCTATAGTGCTAAGCTGTTGTGTCCTTTTTGCACATAGTGCTGTTTACATTGCAGCACTAAGACTGCCCTCAGTGCGGGTGGTATCTGACGCTGGACGTCCTCACTCTCACGATTCAAAGCTTTTCTATGGGAATTTCTAATGCACGTGTGGCATTTGCCACACATGCGCATTAGACCCCGCTCGTCGTGTGACGAAGTAGGGGACAGAAAGTCAACCCAGCGCTGAGGGACATCGGCACTGGGAAACAAAAAGTAGTTTTTAACCCTTTATTTATCGGGGGCAGGGGTAGAGGGGGCTATAGTGCTAGGAATACAGCTTTGTATTCCAGACACTATAGTATCCCTTTAAGAGTCAGGAACCAAACTTTAGCACAATGAAAAATGAAACAATATTCTTAAAAACATAAAATATATATATATACAAACATTACTATACAGAAAAAACAAAACAAAAAATCAATGTTTATACTCTAGCTTGGTACCAATTTAAGAGCAAAAATAAGGCTTGGTGGATTAATTCTTTTTTTTTACATTGATTAATGCAGAAAGCATAATTAGACTTGCTGGG